TTCTCACCCTAGGCCCAGGTAAGCCAACCAGTGGACATGGGTCTCACAGTGCTGACTAGCACATTGAAATGAAATGAAAAAAGGGACAACCAGTCAGGCTGGCATCAGATGCATGTAATATGGTCTAATTAACTGGTCACAATCAGCAGCTTGGCAACCATATTTTCAGTTACTTGAAGTCTAGTTTGAAGATGACTAGAAAATGAATGGCTAAGGTTTGTCACAGGAATAGGCATGGCAGGAAATTGGTTTGCTATGGCTAGATTTTAGCAGTGTGAATAATCAAAATCCACAAAAGTCAGAACTGCAAATGTGGATGGATGACTGAACTAGCCAGCAGTTCACAGAATTAGATGACAACAATTTAAGATCTTCAGTTATTTTAAAAAGGGGAAATCACATAGTGAGAGCCAGCATGGTGTGGCGGTTTGAGTGTTGGTCTAGAACAGAGGGAGACTAGGTTTCAAATCTGTGGTCAGCTATGAAAACCCACTAGAAGACCTTGGGCATGCCCTATGTTCTCTGCCTCAGAGGAAGGCAAAAGGAAACTCCCTCTGGTCAAATTCTACCCAAAAAAGGGCTTTAGGGTCTCAGTAAGAAATGACTTGAATCAAAGAATCATAGAATCAAAGAGTTGGAAGAGACCTCATGGGCCATCCAGTCCAACTCCCTACCAAGAAGCAGGAATATTGCATTCAAATCACCCCTGACAGATGGCCATCCAGCCTCTGTTTAAAAGCCTTCAAAGAAGGAGCCTCCACCACACACCGGGGCAGAGAGTTCTACTGCTGAACGGCTCTCACAGTCAGGAAGTTCTTCCTCATGTTCAGATGGAATCTCCTTTCTTGTAGTTTGAAGCCATTGTTTCGTGTTGGCTCATGTTTAACTTGCTGTCCACAAGGACTCCAAGATCTTTTTCACCCGTACTGCTCTCGAGCCAGGCATCATTGTCCCCCATTCTGTATCTTTGCATTTCATTTTTTTCTGCCTAAGTGGAGTATCTTGCATTTGTCACTGTTGAACTTCATTTGAAGTCACACTACAATAACAACAAATTTACACAGTACTTTCATGGATTTGATTAAAACTGTTTTGTCTTAGGAATCTCTAGGTCCTCCAGTTTGACAATATTTTTAGCTTCTTCCTGTAATGCTAACAGACCTGGAGACAGGCCAAGAGATTTCTAGAGAGGTGTTCTCTCAGATTTTTAAAAAAGCAAAAAAATATTTGTGGTTTTTCACTTTTATGGGGGTCCTCTGCCCCTAGGTGGACTGTGTAGTCTGTACTGATAGGAGACCACTGTTTGTCCTTTTGCATTGGGATTTGAATTCACTTCCAGGGTGGCCATGATTGTATATTTCTCCTTTGGTGTTACATACCCTTTCGGAGTGGATAGGATGAGGCTGTGTGGTGGTCCCGTCAGAGTGGCTCTGTATGCTCCCACTGACTCAATCCTTTGTCAAGGATTCTGGCAAGCAGGTCAAGTTTTACAACTTTTCTATGGAAATCTCAGTAGTTTTCTCTCTCATGCCAAGTTTCTGAAGCTATTCTACTAACAAACTGTCTAGGGAAGCTGTGGTGCTCATTAAATTGCAGTTCTTTTAGTCCAAAGGAAAAGTTTTGGATTGGGATTTTTTTAAAAAAAATAATGGCAACATAAATACAGCTACTTTTTACATCTGTTCTCTGTGCCTCGCTTTGCAAGAGAACATCTTAAGGATATGGTTCATGGGGACAGTGCCAATATCATCAGCTCAGAATGCAAAACAGGCATCTTGCAATTTAAATACAATTTAATTAGTATTGCCAGGATCATTTATGCAAGCTCTGCAACAAAAAAGGTAAAATCTTCCATCCGTGTTAAACAATTCCGTAGCCATTTTCCTATCAAGCACATTATTCCATGTTTTGTTCCATTTGTTTCCACCGCAGACTCCTCGCCGTGTTATTTCTTTGCAGGGAATGCAACACTCTGTACTTGTAAATTCCTTCATAAGAGATTGGTGCTAGGAGATTTGGTTAGGCTTCTCAGTTGGGGGACTTGTCACTGTAGCAAAGAAATCTTCCAGCAGTCTTTCGCATGCATATATTTGGATGTGGATGTGACCTTAAGACTTGGCTACGAATACAATTTCTTCTTTGTATAGTCTAAGGCTTTCATGGCCGGAATCACTGGGTTGTTGTAGGTTTTTTCGGGCTATATGACTCTAGAACATGGCCATATAGCCCGAAAAACCTACAACAACCCAATTTCTTCTTTGTCTTCTTTGTCTTAAGAGTTCTCTCGTGTCTTCTTTTTGAAATAGATTTAATGGTAGCGGTTCAAATAGTCATAGCATAAAATTTCAAAACAGATGAAATGACAATTCAAGATTGCTACATTGTTCTGTTCTGCAAAACTGCAGGGTAGAGGCATAGTAGTAGTGCTGCTATTTAAAGAAAATAAAATTGTACTTTAATAAATTGTCTTATTTTGGGACCAAAGGAATAAGCAGAGTGGCTTCATGTAGATATAGGACTTAAATGATGTCGAATTGCTCATCAGTAGGAACAAGGATTATTATATTTATATCCTGATTGCCTCTCCTGAAGGAGACTCATAGTTGCTTGATCTGTGGATGTTTCTGTGAACATTATTCCTTGATAAGTAGTGGTCATAGAATGATAGACATCCACTTTGATTATTTTGAGGGGCATTTTGCAATTATTGTTTTTATTAGCATATATTTTCCTTTCTTTGGTTTTACCTTTTGTTGTTCAAATTTGTATTTTTCATACAACCATTTCATGGAATTTTAAACTTTTTCTTCTAGTTCTTTATAACCTAATCCTGAGGCTTTTTTTTGTGTCAGGAGCAACTTGAGAAACTGCAAGTCACTTCTGGTGTGAGAGAATTGGCTGTCTGCAAGGACATTGCCCAGGGGATGCCTGCATGTTTTGATGTTTTACCATCTGAAATCTTGTCAATGCAATACACCAGAATAACTATGCAGGTGTAGGCAGTTGTGGCAGGAAGAAAAAGAGCCTTAGGCACTGCAGCTGTGAAGGAAGATATAGGCTGCTCAGAAACAGCACTTTTCTCTGGCTTCTCTGGCACTGCTGCTTGTGTATTGCACCAGCACAATTCCGGATTCAATGTACAAGGAAGGCCGTATATAATGTTAAGGCACTTTCAGTGCTTCCACAGGTGCAGGTTATGATCTATAAAGCCCTAAACGGTTCGGGCCCCACCTATCCGTGATTGCATCTCCCTCTATGAACCAGCGCGGACTTTAAGATCTTCCAGGGAGGCCCTCCTTTCGCTCCCACCACCATCACAAGCATGGTTGGTGGGGACGAGAGAGAGGGCCTTCTCAGTGGTGGCCCCCCGCCTCTGGAATGCCCTTCCTAGAGAAATAAGACAGGCCCCATCCCTCCCCTCCTTTTGTAAGAGCCTGAAGACCTGGTGGTTTAAGCAAGCCTTTGAGAATGACTAGTTCTAGTTCAGCCCCAGATATTGTTGAATAAGGCCATATCTTTTTCTACCAATTACCCAGGTCACTTGCTCCTATTAGGAAACGGCTCTGAGTCCCCTCGGGGAGATAGATCGGTATATAAAGTTTGTTGTTGTTGTTGTTGTTGTTAATGATAATTCACAGCTTATACAGATGCAACACAAAAGCAAGATAAGATTTTAGAGGAGATGAGTAGCATAAGACCCCTGCCTCTATGTGGGATGCATTTCTGGTCAGGCCCACAAATAGGTGAAACTACAGATATGACCAAATGCCATTGAATTTGCTGACTTCCGGTCCTGTCATACCATAGAGTTGCTCTGGAGGACTTTGAGATCTTTTTAGTTTTAAGATCCTTCAATTATACTATATGATAACTTCTTGGGGAAGCTCAAAGGAGCACCTATCAGATTCCTATAGGAGACAATTTCCCCTAGCGAAGAAAAGCAAAATCATAGCTATTGGTTCAGTAGTTATGAAGCAGGGTCAGATTTCATTGCTTTGACTTTCAAAATAGCACACAATATGCCATATAACACATAAAATTTAATACATCAACATTTAAAATCAATCATTTGATTTTATATGTTGATACAGAATGTAGGCCTGTGACCTTCATCACTTTTCTTCTCCTGTGTGATTTTTAACATCTTTGCCTGATGCAAAATCCTGTGGAGTTTGAAAGCTTGCATGATGCATGTTGTGCTTTTTTGTTGCCCCAATAAAGGTGTTGGTATTTTATGGTTTTGGATTTTGTTGAATTCCCTGCATAGTCAACACAGCTACCCAGCACGTGTTTTAAACAAATAAATAGACATTCTGAGTATGCCTTTGACCATTTCAAATAAGCTTAAGACTTACTGTGAGAGGGAAGAGATACATTTTGATTTAGGATTAGATGAGAAGAAATACATGAGAAAATGTGTAGATGAGGGATCATTTCAGCAGTCAAGATATGGGATGGCCAAGTAGCAGGTTAAGATAATTTACAATTTACAGTATACCAATAAAAGCTTTCCTGCTATACAACACCATTTTTATTGTGGAACCTACCAAATTGTTAGTGGGTAAGTTTGTAAGACAGAATATTCCTCCATAAAACATTATATGAAGAAATGCGACTGATAGGAACACCGGCGTTTTTCCACCTCTGTTCTAAAAATGCCTCTCATCTAATTTCCCCCTGTAACCTCAACAAGACCTTACAGTTTTCAACAGGCATCGTCTATTCCCTTTAGTGATAACATTTTCAGCTGTCAGATTGCTCAATTTTTAAGACAAGATAATTGAAATAGTATGTGAAGGTTCCCAAAACGTGCTGCAATTATACCACATTTTGTTTTTAAAATCTAAAGCTTGGCTTGGTTCGTGTAAATAATGTCTTCAGCCTTCAGCAACTGGAAGTTAAATTTGGCAGTTACCACTTTAATATTTTTTTCAATCAAGGGAAAAAGTGTATTTACAGTACTGCATTTCTCTTACCAAACTCTTTATGTTTTTCTGCAGATCCCAACTATCTCATGGCTAATGAACGCATGAACCTGATGAATATGGCTAAACTGAGTATAAAGGGCTTGATTGAATCTGCTCTCAATCTTGGGAGAACACTAGACTCTGACTATGCACCTCTTCAGCAGTTTTTTGTAGTGATGGAGCACTGCCTTAAGCATGGCTTAAAAGGTGGGTGCTGCTTGAAAGTTTTATGCATAACATTAAGTTGGAAGTAATCTGTAGCTAGTTCTATATTACTTGTTTGACATACAGTTAGCCATTGAGTATCCCTTATTTGTAATACGTGGAACCAGAAGTCCTTTCAATTTTGGATTTCTTTCCCCAGAATTTGGAATATCTGTTATTTGTATATACATTGTACACAATGAGATATCTTACAGATGGATCAATGTCTAAACACAAAATTAATCTATGTTTCATATATCCCTTATTCATTAGATCTGAATATTTTTAATAATTTTGTACATGAAAATAAAATTTTACCCATTGAACCAAAGATGTCACGATCTTGGCCATCATGTGGATGATTCAGGAGTACTTTGGATTTCAGAATCCTGGAGAAAGGATGCTCAATCTGAATTATATATTTTCTTTGACTGTTGAGTGCCCTGCCTTGTTACCATATAGGTTTTTATGTAGATTAAAATATATTGAAATAAGCTTGTTTTGCATGTAGATTTTAGCAGCTCATCTAAATCTTTTTAATAGACACTTGCCTGTATCTCACATATGTTCTTGAGGCCTTGAGTGGTGCTTTATGAGTGATTGTAAAAAACACTTTAGTGATTATGCTTCATTGGTAGTTGTCTGTAAAGACCAAGTATTCTCCCCATGCCAGTCAGGGAGGAAGCCAGAAAACAACACCCTGAATCAAGCTACTCCTGACACATAATTATGCTGATTTGATAGCAGTTAGAGCTTGCACTGAAGCTGGAATAGTGGAAATGTCTCCTGGCCATCTCCTGTTTTATAGAGCTGGTGGTGTTTATTTGTTATTAAATAAATAAATAAGATGCTAAGCAGTCTGTTGGCTTAGAATTATAGTGATAAAAGTTGTATTTGTTCTATATACAGTAGAACTTCCTTATTCATGGGCTCAGTATCCAGTTTCACTTATCCATGCTCCCCAAAAATATGTTTCCTCCACCGAAAGTGTTGATAGGGCTCCATGAATTCTCCAGTATGATTCTATGGTATACTTTTGTCCCAGGTATAATCAAAATATCAGGCTCACTATTATTCATGGTTTCAGGTATAACCTGAAACATATATCCTGTGGATACAGGGGTTGTACTGTACCTTACAGATGATATGTTCCAATGTGAGAAAGAACTGTTTTTCTTTCTAGCCAAGAAGACTTTTCTAGGCCAAAACAAGTCATTCTGGGGACCTCTGGAGTTGGTAGAGAAGTTTGTCCCTGAAGCTGCAGAAATCACAGCAAGTGTTAAAGACCTGCCAGGGCTGAGGTAAGTGAAAATCTTTTCATATGCTTTTTAACAAGATGCTGGTCACGTTTTGTCATAAGAGGGCTGAGAAGGGCGGCATACAAATACAGCAAATCAATCAATCAATCAAGTGGAGGTTCATTCAGCATGCAAACACCCGCTTGCCTAGCTGTCTACAGCATGTCCTGTTTCATGCTTCTGCCATCTTCTCTAGGAGTAGGAGAGGCAGAAGCAATGTGTTGACATGCTTTTCTGTTATTTGTGGATTCTGTAGAATCAGCATGGGAAGTATTATGTGGCAGATGGATAGTGTCTTCTGTCTCACTCTGTAGTGATAAGAGGAAGGGCAGAGGAGGGCATGGGCACACAGGTTGTGTTAACGTTAGATCATAATTGACTAATGAACACAAGCCACAAAAGCTGCTTTAAGTCTCCTTCGGGAGAGATAAAGTGGGGTAGTAATAAGCATAATAATAATAGTAGCAATAATAATAATAACATTTCTCACTTCCTTCTACTCCTCTTGCATGGGTGGAGGGAAGATTTCAGAAACTTTTTCTTCCAATTCCTGTTTCTCTAAACTGAAAACTGAAGTTGACTTGGTGTATTTTTAGAAAAACAGCTTCATAACTAAAATAATAGCTGAAGGTCATGTTTTCCTGTGAAGAGAACATATTAAGTGGAAACTATAGAGAAAATTGTGAAGGCTACTGGAATAGGATAATGCAAAAGCATGCATGTATAGGCATCAAGAAATCAATATTAGTGCTTAATTCTTTGGCTATTTAGTGCTGACTGTTGTTTCAGTGTGCGGTCAGACCAGCACTCTTGTCACATCACATTTGATTTCAGGTTTATTTAAAGTGCTTGTGAGGCTAGTGGCGAGAGATGAACTCAAGCAAAGGAAGCACTCAGATACTACGGCTGGGATAAAATAGGCTACAATTTTATTTCTTACAGCTGTTACAGTGTTGCTTTCTTGTACAATGACCCCTACCTGCGAAGGATTAAAGAAAGGAGGGGTGGGTGTTGGGGGGTGCATGCAGCAAGAGGGCTACAGAAAAAAAGTAAAAACTTGGGCAGTAAGCAGTACACGGAATGATCAGGCACTATATGCAATAGATATGATATTTGGAACGGCCTGGACTGCAGTTGTTGGATTGTGAGATTTTAATGTTAATATAGATATGTTTTTAATTCTATGTTTTAATGTTAAATTATGTTGTGTTTATTATTTAATTAAAAATCGTATGTTGTTATCATTATGTTAGGTTTCTGTATGTGAGGCATTAAATTTTTCCATAATTAAGTTGGAAACCGCTTTGAGTCCCTCACTCGGGTGAGAAAAGCAGTATACAAGTGAAGATTAATAATAATAATAACAACAACAACAACATAGGTTTCGTGAACAATTTGACTTTAAACTAGAGTTTAAACTAGGGATGTGCAACTGTGGAAGGCTAAAGGGTTTCATGAAAGCCTTTGACAATACTTTAGATATTTGTTTTGTTCTTCCATTGTGTTCAGTGGAATTCAGCCATCTGCGTAAATTTGGCTCAGTTTTGTCTCATACCTAATTCAGCTGTAATGTTTCTCAGTTTCCCATTGGGAGACATTGGAGGGTAGCATTGCTTACCACCTACCCAGTCCTCCAAAACAAAAACACCCATGGATTTCTTACTCGCAAAGCCCTCTGGAGTTATGGAAGTACTTTCCCCATATTATTGGGCCTTGGGTTCAAGAGAGGCCTTTTTTAAAACAACAGGAAACAAGCAGAAGTCACTTTTTTATTTTCTAAGACAGCTCTTGGACTTCTCACTCCCTACACCCCCCCCCCCTCGAGCATTTGGGGGCAAAACAATTTTTTTAAACTAAGTATGGAAAAAACCTTTTTTTTTATACCCGGGAGGGCAAACAGGCCTCCAGACACAGTTCCAATGCCCTCCACTGCCCATAGAGTTCATTTTGGGACAGGTTTGATTATTTTCTTCAAATCCAGAAGCTCTGAGGAACACAAAAATGTCCCACGCCTGGCTTAAAACAAAACCCAGTTACTTGGGCTTAGATGTCATTGGAGCTGATGTATTTCGAAGCAGACACTGGTGCCTGGCCATGACAAAGAATATGTAGCTGTTGCTTAGCTAAATAGTAAGAAACCATGGGGGTCCCCTTATCTGTAAATCAGACCAAAATGGCAATTGAGTGTATAGCAGCAGCATTAAATATTATTGAGTGTTTGGAAAATAAACTTGCCACATACACTGTATAGCTATATAAAATCTATAATGTCACAGTTGTGTCTGCATGAAATGATATTCTTTGCCTAGCTTATGATTCACAAATAGAGTGCTATTGGATGCTGTCTAATTGTCCCCATTTGATATCTCTCAATGACTGAAATGACTACAATGACTGCAGGAAGCTATTAGAAAGGAATGGTTTAGCATTATGTCTGAATTGGGACTCCTGGTTTTCTGCTCTCCTAACAAATCAGAATCATATGACATAGCCTAGATTTGCCTTCTAATGCCTGGTTGGTTTGGGAGCAACAAGCCAATAATTTTGATTTGAACGTAGTTCCAAGCTTTTTCTTGGGTGAATTTCTTGGTTTCTATATTCATTTCCAATTACAAGGTGAGCCAAATAGAAGCGCTCAGAAAACAAACAGAAACATGATGCTTCTTAATGATATGTCAGAATTCTCTGCAATTGCTACTTATCATTATTTGGTGTGAATTCATCTGATTTGTCCCTGCTGAAAACCAGCTGGATAGACCTAGAGAAGAGCAACTAGCCTATGGTTTACATCAATAACAAGGAAGTTAGTGCAGAGATTATGTATAGCCCTTTGTATGACAGTGTTTATCTTGCTTCCTTAAACATAGGACACCTGTGGGCAGAGGAAGAGCTTGGCTTCGCTTAGCACTCATGCAAAAGAAACTTTCAGAGTACATGAAGGCCTTGATAAACAGAAGGGAAATTCTCAGGTCGGTCATTTATCTTATCTTTACACTGAAGGTTTAATTTCAGTAATAGGGCATTCATGACATAAGCCGATCTTCCACTGTAGGCATCTTTTTTGGTATGCCTTTTCATGACTTAAAACCATAACTGTTCTGACATTTTTAAAAGACCAGCATAGGTATAAATCTTGTTAAACTACCATAATAACAATAATAATAATAATAATAATAATAATAATAATAATAATAATAATAAACTTGCTCATACATATCCCTTTAGCCGGAGGTATTTCAATGGGATCATTGTAGACATGGCATCCAATTATACTGAAACGTAGCATAAAAGCTATAGGCATCATAATAGTTCAGTGTTCATGTAATTGTTTAACATTTCCTTAGATACTATAAAGAATAGATGCAGAATGGTTTTGTCTCTGATATGCCAGATTGCCTTTGGTGACAGCAGTGGATCATGCTCTTTCATTTGTATTAAGCAAGTGCTAGTACGTATTTTATTTTATCCGTACACACACACATACCTCCCAGTCTAGTCTACTTCCTCTACTGACAGAGTACCCAGATATTAGAGCAAGCTTTCTCTCATGACATGATGGCTTGCTTTTTCTATCTTCTCATTTTCTGAATTGGAGCCCCCAGTGGCACAATAAGTTAAACTCTTCTGCCGGCAGGACTGCTGACTGAAAGGTCGGCGGTTTGAATCCAGGGAGCGTGGTGAGCTCGTGCCTGTCAGCTCCAGCTTCTCATGCGTGGACATGAGAGAAGCCTCCCACAGGATGATAAAACATCCAGGTGTTCCCTGGGCGACATCCTTGCAGATGGCCAATTCTCTCACACCAGAAGCGACTTGCAGCTTCTCAAGTCATTTCTGACATGAAAAAAACCCTTCTAAATTTGACTTAAATGTGGACAATAGCAAACTTTTATTAACTTCATTATAACCTCATAACTTGTCAGAGCAGAGGAGCCCATATGACATAATTACTTTGTCTGGTGGATTTGATGAAACATGTGGCTTCCACACAAAGTGCATAATCACAAAGTGGTATTTCACAGAATTTACTGGCAATCCATATGGGTTCATCTTCTGCTTGCAACACTCCTGCCCCCTTTTTCCACCACATTCATCTATTAATGTCTTCTCATTAAGACAACATTTTCAGTGATTTGACAGACTTTTTACTTGTTTTGCAGTGAATTTTATGAACCTAATGCACTCATGATGGAGGAAGAAGGTGCCATAATTGCAGGTCTTCTAGTGGGCTTGAATGTCATTGATGCAAATTTCTGCATGAAGGGTGAAGACTTGGACTCACAGGTGCTGGATGCTTAGTAGTTATTTGGGTGATGGGCTGTACTTTTATTCAGTTGTGGTGACTTGAATTTAATTTTTAAAAGCCATTTGAAAAGCTAAAATTAAATGCAGTAGTCATTTTGTGACATGTTTGGCTACTTAACAGCTATCACGCAGAATGAAATACATGTATAACTTAACTAAACTGAATACAGATCCTTACACAGTCATTTCAACAATATAATAATAGAATAATGGAGTTGAAAGACATCACATAGGCCATCTAGTTCAACCCCCTGCCATGCAGGAAAAGCACAATCTAAGCACTCATGACAGATGGTCATCTAGTCTCTGTTTAAAAGCCTTCAAGGAAGGAGCTTCCAACACCCTCCAATGCAGAGAGTTCCATTGTTGAACAGCTTGAACAGTCACAAAGTTCTTCCTAATGTTCAGGTGGAATCTCCTTTCCTGTAATTTGAACCCATTGCTGTGGAATTCAGAATTAAGATACACATGATAATGAAACCCTGTTTACCTGTTCATTAATCTAAGTAGAAACACAAGGAAGAGGGGGCATTCTTAGTTCTACTTCCTCCATTATTACTCCAGATGTGTGAATAGAAGTCCATGGAGGCTCTACATATGATTGGGAATCTTGAAAAATCATGTCTAGAGGAGACTCTATTTGTGCCATAATCTCAACATATGCACATTCCTTTTCCTGTTTTTACTTGAAATAAATTATCATTTGTTTGTGTATAGTTAGTGCTTATCCGAGGAGAGGGATTCTGCTGTATATCATTTGCTTTTGCTTTGCATGCTTTCAACTTCACTCCTATGTCCTTTTACTAAAATATCCTGTCAGTTTCTTTGCTTTTGTTCTGCTTTGAAGTGTAGGAGGAAATGAAAGCAGTTAAAAGTATCTCAGAGCTAAGTGAAAGCATGTCTGGGGAAAATCCATAGTTACAGCTTTGAAAATAAATTGTTATATTTTAGGTTGTGTGTGATTTTTTAAAAAAAAAATGCTCAATTTGTATACTTTATTTGTTGTCTTCTTGAAATGTTTTGACAGAAAAGGGGTGGATGAAGGGCAGTAGGAAGCTATAGATACAATGAGTTATTTTTAAAGCTTGCAGGATCATAAAGCTGCTTTTTCGATGAGTAGTCTACATTTATGTTCCTTATAATAAAATCTAGAATCTTGCATGTTTACAAAAGTTAATGAAGCCTTTCAGCAATCTAGATCCTTTGCCAAGTTTTTTTTATTGTAAGCATAGAACTGGAAAGGACAAATGACCTTGTCTACAAATGAGTCATAGGAGGGCAGATTAGATTTTCTGTTTTCTCAGTTCTAGGTTAAGTGACATGAGTTGGCTATGATTATGCCTTGTGTTGTCCCTCTCATGCTAAATCTTAATACATTTCTCATTTGATGTGGTTACTTTGAGTTTATTCTTTTTTTAAATGCACATATGGCTTAAAGTACTCTATGTGGAGCCACCTAACTTGCAAGAATGGTAAAATTAGAAGAACACAACAACAGAGAGGAAACAAACAAGGACATCTAATCACCTCTCAACAAAAGATTGCTCCAGGCACTGCCAGGCAATCAAATGCTAATCAGGGTGATCAGTTGAAACATTCACACCTAGCTCCAGAAGACAAGAGTCCTTTGTCCCACCCTGGTCATTCCACAGATATATAAACCCCCTTTTTTCCTAGTTCCAACAGACCTCACTACCTCTGAGGATGCTTGCCATAGATGCAGGCGAAACATCAGGAGAAAATGCCTCTAGACCATGGCCATATAGCTTGAAAAAACCTACAACAACCCAAGAATGGTATTCATGCATCAAGCTTTCCCCCAGTTCTTGTTTCAAAGCAGCTATGCCAGTAAACAGAAAAGGAAAATGAGTGTAGAAAGCCATTGAGATGTGCCAGCTAAATATAGATTTGCTTAACTATCTGATTAATTCCTGTTTTATGTAAGGTAAATTCAGTTAATAAGAAACATTACGTGTTAGAAGAAAATTAATTATATTTCACATGTAGTATTACTGCCTTTTGTTGCAGGTTGGAGTCATTGATTTTTCAATGTACTTAAAGGATGGGAACAGCAGTAAAGGTAGTGAAGGGTAAGTGTTTCTCTCCCCTGTTCTGTGCTAGTGTTTCAGATTGTTCTCTGAAGATTTTTGTGGGAAATTGACATGTTTACTGCTATAAACTTTCAGCACGTTATAATCCTAACATGCAAGTACAGATGGAGGCTACCACTGCCATTATCTACCACCTTCTCCTCTGCCTTATTGCTCTGTAACAGTTGTTTAGCAATAGTTAGTTAACAACAGGAATTTTCTGTTAAATTATATTCTGACTTTCCCCCTGTGAACTCGAAGTATTTTATATGCTTCTTTCCCACTTTGTCTTCACGACACGCCTGTGAAGTTATTAAAACTGGAAAGCAGTGGCTATCCTGGGAGAAATGTGAAGCTTTATCTCCCAATTCCCTATCTAGCCCTATATTCTTCACAGAGTCCAAATGTATCTCCCTCTGTGAACCATCTTGGAGGTTAATATAATCTGAGGAGGCTTGCTCTCTATCTCACTGCCCTCGCAGGCGCGTCTGATAAGGACGAGAGACAGGGCCTTCTCAGTGGTGGCCCCTCGGCTGTGGAACTCCCTCCCCAGGAAATTTAGATCAGGCCCCTCCTGCCTGACCTTCTGAAAGAAAGTGAAGACATAGTTATGGGACCAAGCCTTTGGACAATGATTCCCAGTGCAATAATGATCTCTCAGTGCAATAATGAGTAATGCAAGTTACAGCCAGAATGTCCCCTGGAATATGCTTTTGTATTGTGTGTTTTTATGTAATGGTTTTAAGTATGTGATTTTAAAGTACATGTTGTTTTATTCTATATATGTATTCATGGCATTGAATTGTGCCTTTGTTGTGAGTCGCCCCGAGTCCCCTTTGGGGTGAGAAGGGCAGGATATAAATGCAATACATAAATAAATACAGTGGCTTAATGCAGCCTCAGTGAAGGTTTTGGGAAGGTCTGTGAGCATTGCTTATGGAAAGAAGAAAAAAAATTGAAGATTTTTAAGATTACGATGGTGGTGCTATTTGTTTGAAGACTCCCCCCCCCCCCCTTTTCCTGCTTTTTCTGGCCTGTTATTTCATTGCTCAGTTATTTGTTTCTCAGTTGCAGCATATTCTAGAGAATGCACAATTATGCTTTGTCAATTGTAACATCATATCAGACCGTTTCTGATATGTGTCTTCTAATTCTGGCTTGTTGCCTTACTGACAAATCATTATATATGAATTCAAATGGCACCAAACTATTCTGTCTTCTATAAACATGATTTGATGTAATAACTGTTTTTTGTGGGATTTGGTCATAGACTTTATTAGCAGCCATTGCTTTATTCATAGTTATAATATATCATACTCAGTTGATTCACCCACTTCTCACACTCTTGTGATTTGTCGTATTTAGCTACTAATGTTTAATATTCATTGTGTGTTGTTTCCAGAGATGGTCAAATTACAGCAATTCTGGACCAGAAGAATTATGTAGAAGAGCTCAATAGACATTTAAGGTAAAGAGTGATTTCCTTCAGATTATGATCAGTAAAATTGTTGATCAAATAATCCTTGAATCCTTAAATTTTAATATAATTACTGTCCTTTGACAGTGCCACAGTCAACAATCTGCAGGCAAAGGTTGATGCTTTAGAAAAATCCAACACAAAACTTACTGAGGAGGTATGTAGACGTCAAACAAACATTCCTTTTATTCTTCTTTGGGTAAAACAATTTTTGATCATTAGGCAAATTAAACAGTACAACAGAGAACTTTATAAAATAGAAATAGGCATTGTTCTTCAAGATTCCTGTTAGTATGCTTGTTTAGACATGTTGATCATGATCAGCTAAATTAGTGGTTCTTCACCTGTGGGTCCCCAGATATTTTGGCCTTCAACTCCCTAGAAATCCTAACAACTGGTAAACTAGCTGGGGTTTCTGGGAGTTGAAGGCCAAAACACCCGGAGACCCACAGGTTGAGAACCTCTGATAAATAGTCTTTAAAAGTAAACCCTTGACATTTGACTTCTAATAAAATGCAAACTGAATGACTATTAAAGTGAGGAATCTCATCTGACCTACGGTAGGAATGCCAGATGTAGACTTTAGCAGAGATCCACGCCATTGAAATATAAATCAGTGTCATCTTGTGAGAATGTGAGCACATTAATCTGAAGAGTATGTGCAGCTTATGAACAGGATTCAATACTGGATTTTGTTCCCTCTATACATCCAAAGGCACTGGCTTTGGAGAACCAGAAAGTCCTGTGGAGATGCTTTTCAGGCAGTTGAAAGTTGCAGAAAGGTGTAATAAGAGGTTGTGGATGGGCCTGCCAAGAGAGACACCTTTTCTTGTCAGATAATCGGGTACATGGAGGTTCAGATGAATGGAGGTTAAGTCAGGGCCATCTTTGGATTTCCTTTTGGGGGGTGACCATTAAGAACCACCAGAACCAAAATCATTCTTGCAGATCCCATCATAACTCTGTTCTACTGGCCAACTTTTGTAACTATAAAATTATGGGAGGATAAGTTGACATATGGCACATCATGCAATGGCTGCTTTTGGATCCCTGTGGTCTAAGTCTTGTTCTTTATCCAGTACATCATACAAGCTACCTAGGTACAATCTTTTAACAAACCACTACCAAAAATGTATCAGAAATACTTTTAAAAATATATTTTTAAACTTCTTCCATTTTTGTTGGCATACACAGCTCGCTGTTGCAAATAATAGAATTATAACACTGCAAGAAGACATGGAGCGAGTGAAAGAAGAAAGTTCTTTTATTTTGGAATCAAACAGAAAGGTCAGTGATTATATGTGAGCTGTCTAACTATAGAAAGCTTTCTCCTTCCTCCCCTCTTTATCGCATGCATCATATTTGGCTTCTTTAATCTGTAGGAACCTCAGTTGTTGTTACTGCTTTCTGGTTATGAAATACTATTAAGTGTTTTGTTTATGTGTGGATGTTTAGATGTGATAAGAATGTATATCATTGTGTAAGATCCTGCAAAAAATTGTACTTCATGGATTTTTGGCCTCTCATCACTTTGTGCTTTATTCAAATGGGAAGATAACTTCATGGTAGAATAAATTCCTTCTTGATAGTACATTTAATGTTTCAACTTTTTAAATACATTTCAATCTAAACATAAATGCTGTCAGTTTACTCAAAGCCTAAATACAAGTATGCCTAGACAGAGCAACAAAGACGCTTATCTTTTTCAAAGCAAACATTAGGTATGGAAATGTACCCATAAAAGAATTACAGAATTTGTGCAGTATTTTTTTTAGTGGGACAATGAATAATTTGGAGGAATGAATCCTCGGATAATACATTCCCAATCTGTGCACTCTTCTTTCAGTGTACTGTCCCAATGTTGTATGGCTAAATTTAGTATGTGAAAGTGAAAACCTGGCTTTGGCGTCAAGCCTTTGCAGATTAATTATAGTGCAATGATAGCTACGGAATATGTGCAATGATTTTCGGAACGGCCTCAGATGGCGTGATTTTAATAGTGAATGCGATGATTTTATATGTTTTAATGTGTTTTAATTTTAATGTTTAATTTTAACTTAAATGTATTTAATTGTATGTTGTTAAAAAAGACATTGAATAGTTAATAATAATAATAATAATAATAACCACAACAACACTTTATTTCTACCCTGCTACCATCTCCCCAGGGGACTCGGAGCGGCTTACATGAGGCCGAGCCCAGAATACAACAATACAAGCAATTTAAAAACAACCAAGACAATAAAACAATAATATAAACATTAACAATAGGACAACACACTTTAAAAACTATGGGTAGGCCAAATGTAATTAAAATAAAAATAATAGTTTCCTATACGTAAGCCGCTTTGAGTCCCCTTTGGGGTAGAGAAAGGCAGGATATAAATAGAGTAAATAAAATAAATATTTACAGTTCACACAAAGAGACATGTGACAATTGTTTAAGCCCATATGTTGGTAGTGGTGTGGATTAATTATGGATTTGGGAAATTATTTTCTAACGAACACATGATATGTGAAAAAGACTTTACAGTCTATTTACTTAATAAAATCTATTCTTATGTAAAATACAGAATGTGAATAAATAGTCTTACAAAATTGGGGTTCTTTTTGTGGTCTCTGTGATTGACACAGATGGGGTTTATGACACCTGCATAGTGAATCATTTGGAACTTTTTAGAGTTGTAACTTAAGCATTTTGGTGGTAGCCCTTCCGCTCCTGGTCCATATTACAAACCTGATTCTTGTTCATTCCCTCAGTTCCTTTGTATTTGCAGCAGCATTGGGGAAACTATTGGTGATCTGTTCACTTATTTGTGGATGTACTTCTGGTTTGTATTCTTTTGGGGCTTGGAATTGCTTTCTCCAGCAGCTATTCAGATTAGCCATAATTCTGCACAGAGAAGAGTTAATAGTTGCATTACTTAATAATTGTATTATTTGCCAATTAACAAGATTTGGTTTTCTGATCTTCTGACGAACAGCAAGCACCTAAGCAAGATAGAACTTCAGATGGACAGGCCCTTAGTGAAGCACGGAAACAGTTGAAGGAGGAAACACAGCTGCGGTTGGTAAGTAGAATAGCGACCCACTCTTCTTTTTTAGGAAACCTGTGGGTTTTGTGCTGCTTTTTCCATAGTGAAGAATATGTTTTTGTACCAAGCCATACAAAGCTATATCACCACCACCTCATGGAGGATAGAAATGCCACTCCTGCTGCGTTGGCACGTGTTTCTTTAGCATCAAGCAGCTCAATTTAAGATCAAGCTGGACAGCATCCTGCACCATAAGCATTTTTTCCTACCTCCGAGTAGAATATCCACCATATTAGCCACAATAAAATTTTGTTGTATAATATGCTTTTGTTGATAAGTTCCTAGTAGTTATTGTGTATTTAAGATGGTATATGAAAAATACTATCTTTTGAGAGGAGAGATCAGCAAGTATTTTGTAAAATGGGATGCGAGATGGAAATTTGGCTTTCCTTAAGGCCAGTAATGTAACATACAATAGATGCAGTGGCCTCGTCTTGGAAAGTGTCTTTCTGAAAGAAAACAACAAGAAGTCAGAATGTTGGTTTTTTTTCTTGCTACAGGAGTAGCCAAATTCCGTAATTATGTTAAGGTAGCTTTTTTTCATAGCTTCCAAATAACACATGTCATTTTGTGTCTGTGTTTGTATGTTTTAGGATGTGGAAAAAGAACTTGAAGTGCAAATTGGAATGAGACAAGAGATGGAACTAGCCATGAAGATGCTGGAAAAAGATGTTTGTGAGAAGCAAGATGCACTGGTGGCACTCAGGCAGCAGCTGGATGATCTCAGGGCCCTAAAACTTGAACTTTCTTTCAAGCTACAGGTATAGTGAATGTAATGTGCCCTCAAGACAACTTTGGCTTCTGGGGACCTCCTAAAACCTGGGTTATCAACCACTTGTATCTCGGGGCATTCATAACTTCCTTGCTTGAATCTATCCACCCGTAATACAGTCTTTTTCCACTTTCCCAATCATCTCCAGTGGCTCATGTCATATGATGTGACCTTGGCTTCTTGTGAAGGTTATAATAATAATAATAATAATAATAATAATAATAATAATAATCCTTTATTTATATCCCGCTACCATCTCCCACAGGACTCTGTGCGGCTTACAAGAGTCCGAGCCCAAAATAGATCGAAACAAAAAACATAACCACAACAATACAATACAGCAATAAATAACTCATAGCAAAGCAAAGACAATAACAAAATATCACGACACAATTTAAAAACCTGGCAGGGCCAATGTAAAGATTAATTTAAAAAAAAAAAAAACGCTGGGCATGACCAGGTGAAAAAGGGATGATATTTTGGGGAGTAAGTGGGTGTGCAGACACTTCTAACTCTCTCGTAAAGTGCATTTGGGACATATTGCTTGGGATTCCTTAATCTGGGAAGGCACACTGGAACATGTTTTCAAGCTTCTTCTGAAGACTGCCAATGTTGGGGCATGCCTGATGTCCTTGGGGAGGGAGTTTCAGAGTCGTGGGGCCACCACTGAGAAGGCCCTGTCCCTTGTTCCCACCAGTCGAGCTTAGGTCTTGATTTGCTCTTGAACCGATTTCTGATTTTCATAGAGGTTTCCCTCCAGTACCATGTTTCAAATGGATTGAATTTCTTCTAGTTAGCATTCATACAGAGAAAACAGGATCATATTAGCTGCTAGGTACATTGCTTCCTTTGCTTAGTCTTGTGTAAATTGTTCTGTGTTATCATGCAGAGATGGCTAACAGAAGTCTGAGTTTAACCCACCTCTGCTCCATAATATGTGCAATCTGTAAATGGGGAAAAATGGTATTCACCATCAATGTTTAAACAAGTTTGTCAAATATATACACCTTCCTGTTTGTGTAAGCTAATTTTTAAAAATGTGACAAGAGAAGGGATCAAAATGGATATATTTGTGGGAAGTGGGTTTAATTATAAACTAGGACAACAACAATTACCAGAATAATTTACGTTGTTTCCCTGTGTTTATACTCCTTTTGGTTTCAGTCTCTTCTTCTACCAAGTTTGGTATTCATGTGTTGTTGATAGTGATACAGAGTGATTTTGAACGTGTACATATTTACACAAACTAAGATTTAAATCTAGATTTTTTTCTGTACTGATTCCTGAGGGTGATGTCGTGGCTTTTTGCCTTTTAGAGTTCAGACCTGGGAGTGAAACAGAAGAGCGAACTGAATAGCCGCTTGGAGGAGAAGACAAATCAGATGGCTGCTACCATTAAACTTCTTGAACAAAGGTAAAATTGGAAGTTGCTTATTTAAGCAAAGTTATAACTATATACTACTGTCAGTTTTGCATTTTTTAGATATGGAGATAAATAATATAAGATATTTGAGAAATGTTTTAAATACAAGGTGCAACAAGGTCCAGTAGCTTAGAAGTACTTTACTTTAAAGCAGTGGTTCTCAATCTGTGGGTCCCCAGATGTTTTTGGCCTTCAATTCCCAGAAATCCTAACAACTGGTAAACTGGCTGGGATTTCTGGGAGTTGTAGGCCAAAACGCCTGGGGACTCACAGGTTGAGAACTACTGCTTTAAAGAGAATACGGAGTGCTAGCCCATACCATTCCCACATAATAGCCTTCACAGAGCTCAAATTTTACAGTGAATTTGATAGTTGCTTAATACATGACCCATCATTAAAAAGAAAAAGTTTCTATAAGTGCTCCTAAGTAGGGATGAAGCCATGTGGCAACTATGTTCTGTGCTACAGATATTATTCGTAATTTAAATGGGTTCTCCTGGGGCAAGTTGTATCTAATAGGATGATCAACTCTTAACTTGTGGGCATTTGCAAGCTCCACCTAGACCGCTGCAGTTTTTCTGCTTTGCGGACTATCTATAACAGTCCAAAATGAGAGAAGGTATGATTGTTACTCAACTATGATGCTTTGCCATTTATATACAGCTTATGTTAATTTGGATTTTTTTTTGTCCTGTTTCCAGTCTAACTTGAGGCCCATAGTTTGGTGGCAGGGTTTTGCCATATCAGATTAAAATAAAATGACAAGCAGGAAGCTAATGGCATGGAAGGCACTGCAGACTTGGTTGCTATGAGTTTTCCAGGCTGTATGGCCATGTTCCAAAAGCATTCTCTCCTGACGTTTCACCCACATCTATGGCAGGCACCCTCAGAGGATCCTCACAACCTCTGAGGATGCCTGCCATAGATGTGGGTGAAACGTCATGAGAGAATGCTTCTGGAACATGGCCATACAGCCCGGAAAACTCACAGCAGCCCAGTGATTCAGGCCATGAAAGCCTTCGACACTGCAATGCAGACTAATTCAACCAGAGAAGTGAGCCATAGCAGAGCACTTGATGAACCAATCTGGACACAGCATAGTATTTGAGAACACATAAATGCTGGACCACTCTAACAACCACCATGTCAGATTACACAGAGAAGCCATTGAAATCCACATGCATGTGGACAATTCCAACAGAAAGGAGGAAACCATGAAAATGAACAAAATCTGGCTACCAGTATTAAAAAAAAACTCAAAAATCAGGACAGTAAATAAAGAACAAAACTCAGAACAACCAATCAGGCCAGCTAATCACCTCCCAACAAAGGATTCCTCCAGGCAGGAAGCAGCCAGGCTTTGGAGATGCACGGTTATTCAATGCTAATCAAGGTGGTCAATTGCAACATTCTCCTCCCTCAAACAGACAAGAGTTCTTTCTCCCACCCTGGACATTCCACAAATATATAAACTCCCACTTGCCTAGTTTCCAATAAACCTCACAAACTCTGAGCATGCCTGCCATAGATGTGGGCAAAACGTCAGGAGAGAGTGCTTCTGGAACATGGCCATAGAGCTCAGAAAACTCACATTAACCCACTAATGACTATTGTCACACGTTGCACAGTGAGTCGCGCAAAGCTAAACTGTTCTGTGACTAAATGTAAAATGTTCTGATGGAAATGTAGTACTTAAATACAGATTCTACTTGTTTCATTAAATGAATCAGTGGTTTTAGATCTATGGATGACGGGAAGAAGATGCTAAAATTACACAGATGTAGCAAAGTTGCACAAATAGTTACACAGATTTAATTATTGTTAAGAAAGGCACAGAAGTATTTTCCAGCATCTTATTTGTGCAATGAAAAGAGATATTCTGGACTGATTACCTCACACAGACTTACTGACCTCAGTTTCTTAACAGGCTTCAGAAATTCCAGTTCTAGAAATACAATTCCCTTTCAGAAGACATACAATAGTAATGAGTATCCTTGTATTGATGAAGGCTTCCAAGGCTGGAATCACTGGGTTGTTATAGGTTTTTCGGGCTATATGGCCATGTTCTAGAAGCATTCTCTCCTGATGTTTTGCCCGCACCTACGGCAGGCATGCTCAGAGGCTGTGAGGTCTGTTGGAACTAGGAAATTTGGATTTATATATCTGTGGAATGAAAGAACCCCTGTCTATTGGAGCAAGGTGTGAATATACAGATATATATACCCAAACTTCCTAGTTCCAACAGACCTCACAGCCTCTGAGGATGCCTGCTGTAGGTGCGGGCGAAACATCAGGAGAGAATGCTTCTAGAACATGGCCATACAGCCCGAAAAACCTACAACAACCCAATGAGTATCCTATTTATTTATTTTGTGACAAAAGCATTGCATAAATATATTAGTGTAAAACTAATAAAATAGAGCTAACACAAGCGGCTAAATAATTTTAGACCAAAAACGGGCAACAGCAACTGCATTGTCTGCAGCTTTAAACAGTTCTTCCTCTGTTCATGAGACAGGGTATTGTGGGCAAGCATACAGATGCTGAGTTGTTTGTTCTGCTTCACAGTTGCACAAGGTGGAGGATTCTTCTAAGTATCCTATGAATAGTACGTTATCCTCATACACTCTGAACTTCGTAAAAAAATCTGATGAAGCTGTATAGAAATGTCAATTATATTTTCTGCTTTTTAAAAAATGGAGCTCAGAAGTTCCTCCTTTATATATTTGCACTTGCATATTGCAATGTTTTAAAAGCACGGTGGCTGTCATGTGTTGAATTAACGTGTGTTTTCTTCTACTGTTTATGTCCTCCCCACCTTCCCACCCCAATTTTCCCTATATCATTTCAACATCCCTTTTCTAATCTAGTGAAAAGGATTTGGTGAAACAGGCAAAAACCTTAAATAGTGCAGCAAATAGACTGATTCAGAAGCCCCATTAGGCTTTTTAAAAAGAAAATGGTTGCAGCTGGTCACCTCACAACTCTGACATCTCTGCTCAGTTATGAGGGGAAAGCAAAAGGAGGTGGTTGAGAATGTTGATGTCAGGCTTAAATATTGTCACCCAAAGTTGACTTGGAATTTGGTGGATTTTTAAGTAAAAAATGTTTTTGTTTGGAGGTAGAAAAAAAATAACCCGTAACATTCCTTTTTCCCTGTTATTTCTTGTTTAAATTTGACTAAACTGCAAAGTATTCCAGAAAATCATATGTACCACTAGATTTGTGGCTCTGTGTGTACAATTGGTACAAAAATGTATAACCTTGAAGGGATGTTGGGGGAAATGAGAACCTTCCCCAGCCCCATGTGCAAATTCATGGAAAATGAAGTTACTTCCCTTTGTTTGCCTTCTTGTTGTGTCATAGATGAAAACACATAAAACAAACACAGAGGTTAAGAGCTGACAGTGACACATTATTCTGTGGCTTTTTTTTGTTCCATGGGATATTAACCAGGACAAGCACACAACGAAGTTTAAGAAATTGCCATTGCAATGGTGTAGCCCTTGTTAAGCGGAGGCTTGTCTGCACTACATAGTTTTCCAACTGAGATTTATCACAAACACAGATACATCGTAATTGTGTCTGATTCAAGGACTGCACAACCCCTGACTCCAGGGATGTGCCAGTTCCCAGGGACCATGATTAAAACTACTGATTTCAAGTTAGAATGAGTTATATGTACTCCTTTACACTTTTCACCTTCTTCCAATTGCATGGGAATGCAACAACGTCATTATTCCACTCTTTCTTCCAATACTCTTTTTTTAAACTGACCTTCCCTTTCATCTCATAGCAACTGTATTGTTTTGGTGTAATACACTATGCATGGATCTAAGACACATCCAGAGCAGCATAGAGGTAACATAATGCAAATAGTCGCAACCAAATCACTGGAAAACATAACTGGAAAGTTTTGCAGTGAAAGGACAAACTTCATAGTAAGCCAGTGCCAGCTCTTTTGCATTAAGGAAAAACAATTTGTTCCTGACAGGTGATATGGACACACAATCCAGTTAGTAGCTGTTAAACGGCAAACCCTTCGTTATCTTTACATTGCCTTCTACCTCTGCCTTTATTTTCATAAAAAGAAAAAGTGGTTCTTTCTGAAGAACTTCAGTGATAGGTATGGGTTTCCCTCTGTTCCAGTTTTAAATACAAGTTGGAGTTCTGTATTTTACAAAACAGTTCGTTGTTGTTAGCTTTTTAAAACGAGGGATACGTGGGACTGAGAGTGATGTACTGCTGGTCAGTCGCTGACACAAAGCATCCACAACATACAACGACTTGGGTGTTCTTTGAAGTTGCCTTTGCGCTTGTTAATATTTGAGTCTTAAGTCCTTGGTTCAGGCAGGAGACCTGCTTAAGAGTTGTAGTGAGAAATGAATTAAAACCCATGAAGTCTAGGCAAAGCCTTTCTGCAACTCAAAACAAAACTGCTTTTCTATTTAGGATGAAATATTAGGGGTTTCTTTGCTGTGGCTGCCAGAGTTCACAGCGCTATCCTTGCAACAGATTTTAGTGTGTAGATAGTCATTTTGAGTTCTTGTCAGGATACCCAAACTAAGCGGTTTCCCTCTTTCTTCAATTTAGGCTGTCCTTTTTCCCATTTCCTCCCAAATACTCCACTTGCTTTGTGTTTAAACTAAATGGGGAATGGAGAGAAAAATGCCTGTAATAAAGATGGGCAAACACCTACTGCTGCTACTAAAATCTGTAGGGCTGAGTTTAACTCTCTTATCAGTTGTAAACCTAGTTTTGACTGAACAGCAAGATCCTTGGTTTGATTTTTAAAAAGAACGCTGAAGGTTTGCACTTTGGGGCGCATGTTTCTAAACATATCCACTTTATTTGTTGCTGAGCGAGGTTACAACTGGCTTCATTGAAATGACCAAATAGAATATTGTTAAGATTGTTACAAGACCTCCTCCTGGCATTAGAATTAAACTTTTCAGATGACCAAAATCTATTTTGTAAGATCAGTGCACACATCTGGTTGAGAATCATGCTTCGTTTCCACCGGGTTACAGGAGAGCATGTCACTGGCAAACACTTGGGAAGAAGTTTCCCTTCCCAAATAAGCTGCTTTGAAAACATAACCTGTAATCCCATTTATTTGAAACATACTTGAAGTCAGGCTTTGAAAAACACATTATCACCTGTGAGAAATCAGATTCTTAACAGTGGGATATGAAGAATCCTCATTTCAGTGAGAAAGAGCAGATCTTATAAATGGAAACAGTCCAAATTCTTCCTATCTCCACCTTGGAAAAAATTGGATCAGATCTGGTTGGAGAAGAAGAATTGCTGTTTTGCTGGTGGTCTTGGACTGGAGGTTTGGTACCAGTGGTCCTCCTCTTCCCCAGAACTTTGATTTGGATTCGTACAATATAGCCTGAGAAGGAAAGGAGTAGTTTGGACATCCAATTAGGCATCTGGTACAATTCTCCATGTTTTTTGAGACATTGAGAGACATTGGTATTGGTTTTGAAGGAAAGTGATAGCCCCATAGCAGTAGTTTTCAACCTGTGGGTCCCCAGGTGTTTTGGCCTACAACTCCCAGAAACCCCATCAAGTTTACCAACTGCTAGGAATTCTGGGAGTCGAAGGACAAAACACCTGGGGACTCACAGGTTGAGAACCACTTCTGGCCCAGTCTAGTTAAGAGCATGTCACGTACCTGACTGAGTATTGAAGCAACCTCAATGTGGCATTTTAGTCAGGTGTAGATACCTTCAGGTTTTTGCTGAGAACGTTCTTCTACCTGCTCACTCTCCAGTTAAGCCATCGTGGTGCTCATTTGTCACATGGCTAGTGAACACACCTGTAATCCCAAACCAATCCCTCTATAGTTAAGGTATGCTCCCATCTTGGTTCCCCTTGCAGCTATTCCTCAAGTATCCTGGGAAGCTGAAATCTTTATCCATGACTTTGTATTTGATCTGAAGCCCTGTGTGCTTAATGATGTAACAGTTGTGGAAAGAGACCAAACAAATGCACTAATTCCTTAATATAGTAGGTACCCCCCATGATGCAAGTTCCAGTTACTTGTATAAAGCTGCAGTGTAACGTAAATTTAAAAAGAAAACCTTACCAATACTGTGTACCTGAGATTTGCTTTGACTATGGATAACAGTGATGTTTTATGTTTATCATCTAATGACTGTAAACTGTAGTAATAGAACAATAAAACGTTGAAATTAGAAGCTTCTTCTGCCTGGTTCACCTACACTTTGGTTTTTCTTTAGATATGTTTTGTCCCTCATCCTTTCCCGTGCCCACGTATTTCCCCTCCATCTTTCACTGAGCTTGGTTTCTCCTTTTAATTTATTGTTTAAACTCAGTCTTCCTCCCCACCATGGCTTTTGTTTTTTATCACAAGTTCATGTGGCTCAAATCCAGATTGCAACTGACAGAGAGAGAGCGCCAGTCCCTGGAGGAGGACAATCGGCTCTTCAAGCAGGAGTTTGGGGATAAGATCAACAGCCTTCAGCTGGAAGTGGAGCAGCTCATCAAGCAGCGGTGAAGAGAACAGCCTGTTTGCGGGGGTATATTGTGCGGGATATTTCCTGCTCATGGAGCACTGTTGCTATTGCAGTCTGTGGCTTTACAAAGACTATATATATATATATATATATATATATATATATATATATATATCCTTCTTTGTGAGAGATCTTATGGCACCTGCTCCTCTGAATGGCCAACTGCCCAGGTCTGTAGGGTTTCCATGACACAGATTAAATTCAACCTTCACATTGGTGCTTCTCACACAGAGGTTTACCTCACACTCCTCAGGACGACACTGCCTTTGGTCCACTAAGTCTAACAGGCTACGGTCTACTCATTCTCCTCAGGACAACACTAGCTTTGGCCCACTGGCTCTAACAGGCTTCGGCCTCCTAACTCTTTCAGTGCTTGACTCACACTTTTGTAATCAAAAATACCCAGTTAATTTTTAATATTTCTGACAAAGACTAAATATATCCTTTGTGTGAGATCTTATGGCACCTGCTCCTCTGAATGGCCAACTGCCCAGGTCTGTAAGTCGAAGTATCTATCCAAAAAGCAGTGTCCATGAATTTTAAGAATACTCCATCTTCAACAATGGTCTTCGTGCCCAGAGATCAGCTTTGCTTGTCATGCTTATATCCAAATCAAAACAGTGGCTAAATATCATAAACGGTGACCATACAAATCGGTTTATAAGTTACTTGCGCAATCATTAATCCGTCTGCATATTACCCATGTATGGCTCATTTCGACCTTCTTTCTGTCTGGCTGATACAGTGGTTCCCAGCTTTTAACCCTTGAGGTGTGTGGGACTTCCAACTCCCAGAAGCACCAGCCATTTTGGCTAATTGTCAGGAATTTGGGGAGCTGAAATCCAAAACACCTGGAGGATAAAACACTTTGAAACCACTGGGCTGGTTTGTAAGGAAATCATAGGCTGTGTGTTAACAACCTTGTAGGACAGACATAGGCAAACTTCAGCCCTCTAAGTGTTTTGGACTTCAACTCCCACAATTCCTAACAGCCAGTAGGCTGTTAGGAATTGTGGGAGTTGAAGTTCAGAACACCTAGAGGGCCGAAGTTTCTAATGCCTGCTGTAGGGAAACTGTCATTGATAAGGAATACTTCTCTGTACAGTGGAAACCACAGCCAAAGGTTGATTTACAGGTCTGTAATAGTCTTACGCAAACTGCTTGTGCATTTATTTACGCACATTGATCATGTTGTGAAGCACATAATAGTAAAAAGGAGAGAGAAAAAAGCAGCTCAGGAAAAGGAGAATCCTGAGCAGGTACCTGTTTCCTGCAATCAAGAGACAGAAATGAATGGCAAAGAAATGAATGTCATGATTTTGGGAAACATCTGGATTTGCTTCCTGTTGCAAAAAGGGAAGTTGGTAGGACGACCTATTGATACTTAAGCATTGCAAGTCTTTGTGCTCTTTAGTCATAAATTAGCATCTACCCAGTTCAGAAAGAAATATTGGAAGGTTATTTATTTATTTGCTTCACTTGTATACCGCTTTTCTCACCCCAGTGGTGGACTCAAAGCGGTTTTCAGCTTGGTTTGCAGCTTGGAGGTAGTAATCTTGCAGTGTGTGTTCTTTCCCAAGTTAAAGTATTGTTTATTGATGGAATATAATTTTTAAAAGCCTCCTCAGTAGCAACCAAGAAGGGGAAGACTTTTATTTCTTTCTATATCTTTTATTGGCTCAGTTTACAATTTTTTTCACTAACATGTTTTTTTCTCTCTCTCTGGTGCTACTTCAGGGGTCAACTTGAACTGGAACTGAAACGGGAACGAGAACGATGGTCGCATTCCCGAAACAGAATTCAAGACAATAAAAACTTGCACATCCATAGCAAAGGATTCCATAAGACTGGAACACAAATAGTAATGTTTATTTTCTGTTTTTTTCTCCTATGCTCACCTATGACTTAATTTTAATTTCATTTAATTTTTAAGCCCGATGTTGTGATTTGCTTGTGCTTCTCACCATTCATACCATTATCTGGCTATAGTGCGGGCATGGGCAAACTTTGGCCCTCCAGGTGTTTTGGACTCCCAATTCCCACAATTCCTAACAGCCTACTGACTGTTGTGGGAGTTGAAGTCCAAAACACCTGCAGGGCCGAAGTTTGCCCATGCCTTCTGTACAGGATAATGCATACACTTGGCAATTCCAGCCATCAGTATCTCATGATGATTTTTGGTTCTTCCAGAATCAGTAGGCAGTTCCATGACAACCACAATAAGCTTTAATATGTTAGTTGAGACTCTTACTATTAACAGGAAACTCTGTGCTGTAAGAAAATAAGATAATTCGGGTCATTTAAACATGTAAAAACAAAATACGGTGACTAAAGTCTTTCTTCATTAATTTCTGAATATTTTTCTATTTTGATAGGATGTAGGAAACAGATTCTTGGAAGGAGATTCTCAAAGGGGGATACCAGAAAAAGACGAGAAAACATCTCACTCAAACAAGTATGAATTAGTTGAAATTAAATGTCTTAAAAAAAATATTTCCAGAAGATGACTTTTTGGATGCCTATTGCTTCTGCATGTATAGGAAATTGTTTCCCATATTTGATGCAGGGCTTTCTTGTAAGGTTGTGTAGACAGAGAAACTTCCAAAGGCTGGCAGCCAATAGCTTATGAGTAGCAGTTCTTCAGGTATCTTATCTGCTACACTGAAACTTCAAGTCCCTTTAGGGAAGGAACTTGCTATGTGATTTGAAGTGATTGGAGTGAATCACATCTGCCTGTATCAGTGGTTCCCAACCTTTGGTCCTCCAGGTGTTTTGGACTGCAGCTCACACAATTCCTAACAGCTGGTAAGAGGGTTGGGATTTCTGGGAGTTGAAATCCAAAACAGCTGGAGAAACAAAGTTTGGGAACAAGCTCGATACAGGGAGCACACTACCCCCCTGTTATGTCAGCTCCACTGGCTGCCGGTCCACCTCCGAGCACAATTCAAAATGCTGGTCTTGTCCTATAAAACCCTATACGGCTCCGGCCCAACTTACTTATCCAAACATATATCTCTCTACGTTCCACCTCGTAATTTAAGATCTACTGGGGAGGCCCTGCTCTCGGTCCCACTAGCGTCACAAACATGTCTGGTGGGGATGAGGGACAGGGCCTTCTCAGTGGTGGCCCCCCGCTTGTGGAATTCACTCCCCAGTGAGATCAGATCGGTGTCCTCCCTTCTTATTTTTAGGAAAAAACTAAAGTCGTGGTTTTGGAGCCAGGCCTTTGGCTAGTGGGCACAGCAGCACTTTAGACACTGAACCCGGACCATAGGACTGTTATGGCAATTGGAAACAGCTATGTGACTTTGTGATTAGGCGACTATGTTATTAGATGAGTATGTGATTTTAATTAATGTTATTGTTTTAATTTGCTATTTATTTGATTTTACATTGTTGTATTGATATTGTGGCATTGAATTGTTGCCTGTGTTAGCTGCCCTTAGTCCCCCCTTGGGGGTGAGAAGGGCGGGGTGGAAATTGTGTAAATAAATAAATAAATAAATAAATAAATAAATAAATAACTGCCCTATATAGACCACCTCGCACACTACGAGCAGCAGAGGAGGCCCTGCTCTTGGTCCCACCCTCGTTACAAGCACAGTTGATGGGAATGAGAAAGGGGGCCTTCTCTGTGATTGCTCCCTGCCCTTGCAACTCCCTTCCTAAAGAAATAGGCATGGCCCCTACCCTCCTCTCTTTCAAAAAAATTTACAAAAACACACCCATGTATGGAGAGGAGTAGTAGTAGTACACTTTATGGCTGCTACAGTCTATTTTGAATTACAACGAATGCTTGGCACATTTTGCATTTAGGTCATTTTAATTATTCAGGATACATCATTTTGTGGGTTTATGTTTTATTGGTGTAATTACATTTTATTTAAGTATTTGTATTTTGTATTATTTCATCTTAATTCTGTTTTGTAATAAGTTTAATGCTTAATTTCCATTTTTCAATATTGTGTTGTTAATTATATCATGGAATGTGTGCCTTTTATAGAGAGGGCAGTCTAGAAAACAAGCATTATTATTATTATCTTGAGTGGAAGTATTTTGACAGAGATTTTGGAAACTTTTAAATGCTCAAGTTTCATATGTGAATAACAATTGTGAAAATCTCAGTTCACCCCAAACACAATTCTCAGAGAAAGGTCACATTTGTTCAGGGGGCCTAGATGTTCTAGACGCAAGTGGTGCAAAGTAATGTGTGCTGTGGCAACACATTGCTTCATGAATATAGGTGTGCTCCTAGTTTTAACAATTGTAGAAAGATGATTTCACTTTTGGAGTAGTATTTTTTAGTAGAAATGATCTCCTTAGGTAATTGAAACCAGGTATTTTCTGAGTGGTTTATGTTTGGAATTTGAGGGAGTTTATTGCCTATTGAGGCAAGTAGGAATTCTCAAGTTCTTCCTTACAACTTTATGTGTATGATCATAAGTGCCTTATTTAACTTATTATGTGGAGCCCCGAGTGGTGCAGTGGGTTAAACCCCTGTGCCGACAGAACTGAAGACCAAGAGGTCGCAGGTTCAAATCTGGGGAGAGCGTGGATGAGCTCCTTCTATCAGTTCCAGCTTCTCATGCTGGGACATGAGAGAAGCCTCCCACAAGGATGGTCACACATCAAAACATCCGGGCGTCCCCTGGGCAATGTCC